GACCCCTTTTTTTTGGCCTGAATTAAGAAACCTTTCTTAAACATCTACCCATATCTTTGGAAAGAATTCCCAATTGCTGGAACCGAAATTCACATGAGCTCATGGTCTTAATTTATTTCCTAAAACCTAATTCCAGGATTAGGAAATAAATTCCAATTCCCCCCATCAACCTGACGGCTTGGCCTTTACCGGATTTATCCTAAAATCTTTCCCTAGATGCATTGCCTTCATAAGGAAAGTGTTTAAACTCCTACTGCTGCTGGCCGAATTATCCCAAGCCCCGTACATTGGTTTTTCTCCACCAAAACCTGCCCACAACTCCTCCCATATGGAGCCGTCTACTTGCTAGTGCTGCAGCCAAGGATTTCCCCGTCCCTACTCACACGTTCCCAGCACAGGAAGTTCAAATAGTTGTTGTTTGCATGAACAAATTGCTGTCCAGCAGTTTCCACGGGATTTTTCTTTACTGCAACACCATCAGAGAAGTCTCTCCTCGCATCCAACCTCTTCCCAATTTCAAAACGACATCAATTCGCATGATTCAAAGAAGAGTCCGCCGACTACTTGCTATTCATTTTGACCAAGGCTAGGGAGGAGAAACTAACGGAAGGTACGTGGTGTGTCAAGACGTTTCTCCGAGAAGGTGATCTTCTTCCTTGACTCGTGTACTTCCGCATTCTACTTAGCTCGTAGGGAGATTGTTCAAAGCAAGGGATTGTGACTACTTATCGCCATCCACTAGTAACGTAGGATTGTTACTTCTTTGCATTTAGACCTCTTGTTAGATCAAGGTTGTAATGAAAGCTACTTCGTACGCATTGCATTAATTTTCTTAAATATTTGACTTTGCTTAGTTTCTCGCGTAGCTTAGCCTAAACGGAAGTGACCATTTATTAGTTTTACTTTGTAGTTATAATCGCTAATAACGAAAATCGGAAATTGTTCTTTAACTATTTTGTGCAATATTCCTATTTCACATGGAGTCCTGCATCAAATGTTAAATACAAATTTAAAAAAAAAAAAAAAAAAAAAAAAAAAAAAAAAAAGATTGTAAGCATAAACATATTTTAACAAATTAGCAAGATGACAAAGTAGTGATCCTTGCATCGCAGAGGCAAGTTGAAAAAAAAAATAGACAATAATAAAACTAAGGATGATTTTAGGGGATAAACTCTTAAGTTTCTTTGATTTTGCGAACTAAGAATATTGTACTTTTGAAATCTTATTAGTCATGATAGAGAGCATTACATTTTGCGATAAATGAGAGTGTAAAAGCCACTTCTTTAGAAGAGATTATGATATTGTAAATTTAGCTCTTCGGAAAGGGGCCCAAATCACACCATAAGATCAAAATTACATAATCCTAGTTAATACTTACTGGATCTCAAGCAAAGCAAGTAAATTCACATATTATAATCACAAAAACATATATACTGATGAAGTATTCAAAGACAGAAAACATGAACATTGAACATGCTACTTGTAACAATTCCTTCCAAGAAGTTCATGTCATACACTAAAGCTAGATTTTAACAAAATAAAACAAAAAATTTTAAACTAGTTAGGCCAAATTGGTTTATTACTGAACTTTTGATCAGAAGAGAACCTGACTCAAAAAAGATTTTACAAGTTTATGCTAAAACAAATACCTCTAGCAATGAACAATATTAAACAATAATTAACCTCAAAACTGATAGTAAAATAACAACATTTCTCCACTACATTGTCAAAAGGACAGTCCAATTTTCATCACTACCGCATAAACAAAAACCCACTAAAAAGTCACAGCTCTGTATTCAAAACAGACTCTGCTATTGTAATAGTACCATTATGCCAGGATAAATGCAAGGCAATGTAACCTCACTGATCTCTTAAGCAAATATGAGCTCTATAAGCCTCTTGCGTACTCTTCATTCTGTAGTTTATTTAGTTTCTTATTATCAATGGTTTTCAAAAACAAGCATATCCTCGCTACCAAAGAAGAAACAATGAGTACAAGCGACCCCGTTTTTTGTTGATGGATTAACAAGAATGTTTTATAAGCTAAAAAGAATTTGGTGGTGCAACCTCCCTGAGGGCTTCTAGAACACCCTTCCAGCCAGTTCATGCGGAAAATCAAAACTATAATATTCCAGCAAGACGCAAACAATTTCCGAGTCCTGATTCCGGACGCCCTAAATCCATTAAAATTCTCTGGTTGGTGCATGCGAGTCCTTGCTTACCTGTTTGCCGAGGATCAAGAGTCCCGGTTTCTCTGCCTCGACGATGGCTCTTAGAATCTTTGCAACGGAGAGAGGGTAAACCGTGATAGGCCCGACGTCCACGTGGACGGCGCGGTCAGCGCCCATGGCCAGCGCCGTCCTCAACGTCTCAGTGCACTGAGTGGGACCGATGGAAACGGCGACGACTTCAGATGCGCCGCCGTTCTCGCGTATGCGGAGGGCCTCCTCCAGGGCAATCTCGCAGAAGGGGTTCATCGACATCTTCACGTTACTCGTCTCCACCCCGCTCTGCCCGGCGGCAATGTATGGTACATGTCGTTATTATCGCGGACTGCGACGCAGGATTGAAGAGAGGGAGAGGGGAAATAGTAGATGTCCGTACCTTGTCGGGCTTGACACGGACCTTGACAGCATAGTCCACAACTCGCTTGACGGCGACGAAGACCTTCATCTGCGCCCTAATCTCTAAGTTATCCGGGCAACCACCAGGTCCACCGGCCAATCTGGAACGTTGCAAAAATGTAATTGGCATTATTTTATATTATTTCTTTTCCAAAAATTTGATTTTATAAGACTCATAAGCTAGAAACATGAATACTGTCTTATCTTTTCATTAAAATATGTTTAAAATTTTTGTTTAGATGAAAATATTCTTCTACTCTTGATTACGAATATTTTTTAAGTTAATTGTGAAATTCATATTAATTTGAATAATATTCAAATACAATTTGAATAAAATTTATCAAATTTCAGACCATTTATCATAAAATTTCATTTCATATCCAATCGCTATTTGAACTGTAGTAAAATTTTACGAACAAATTAAAACATTTTTTTAATAAGATTTAAATTATATATATATATATATATATATATATATATATGTTGAATTATATATTCGAATAAGAGATAAAATGAGTCAAGTTTCATCTGCATGTATAACAATATAATTCAAATGAGTGAATTCCAGAAGTGATTGTAAGTGCCAAAACAAAAATTTTGATATTTGCTCGAAGTTTTATCAAACATTAATCAACTATTGATCATTATTTTAAGATGTTTTTTTAACAATATTTTAGGATTTATCTAAATTTTTAATAATCTTGATCAAAGCATTTTTTACCAATGATCGATCCTATTTTAAAAGCATAATTAAAATTCAAATTAGTTTTGAGCAATATTAATCATAAACCAAATATATTATGACCAAGGTCAGAGTTATTTTCGAGCAATGTTCGAAAGCTTGCAATCTTATATCTAATGTCCTTACGGCTTTAAGGCTTAGAGTGGAAAAGAATAACATCATCAGAGAATATAATTTTGCCAAATGTATAACATCATTAGCCTTTAACGATAATCTTTGATTAAGTCAAATATAAGACAAAAATGTTACCTTGAAACTTTGCCTCATAACAATTACTCCGAACAAGAATCTCCAATAAAGAAAAGTCATTGAGATAAAGAGGGTTGATCATCTTCTCACTCAAAAAAAGATATTTGTAATACTTGTGCATCTTGTCAAATTTTAGAACTACTTTGGTCCGAGCAAAATTTTCGACCATATTATGACAAGAAATGAAATAGAAAGAATATTATCAAATTTTGAGCATTATAGGGAATATAAAGTTAAAGCTGCGTTACTACTAGAATCATTAGGTTAGTAAGGTGTTTTACTGTTTCTTGGCAAGTTATAGATAAACCTCTTGATAAATGTTAGAGATTGAAAAACAAAATATATGAAACCTTTGAGCTTTCAGGTCACCTCCCTTCCTCCTAATATCAGCATTATAGGCACCGTTTAATTGCCTAAAAGCCTACCCCCTTTTGTTGAGCAAGCTAAAATTACCTGGTTATTCTCACCCACTTTATTATTATTTTGATATTTTTGGGTTTGTTTGGCTTGTCATAATGATACTTTCATTGATATAAGAGCATGCAGGGAATTCTCTAATTTTGTCTTCTTTTACTACCTCTTATTTTAAATTAATAACTCTTATTTTCATTAGATTAATGATATGTTAATGATCCATATTGAAAACCTTGCATTCTTTAATATTCTATTAGAAGGGTTGCAGCATGTTATCCTCTATGTTTAAAGGGTTCTCAAATGGGTTGATCGATGGCACTAGAGAAGTCGTGCAACAATGCTAGGCTCTCTATGTACGGGTGTTGTGGCGCTTAGAACTAAACACTATGATGCTAGGTCAAAAATTTATTTTTTTTAATATCTTTTTCAAATATCTAATTTAAGTACTCAAACCATTCCTCACCGCCCTCATTTCGCTGAGCTTGGCCAGGTGAGGAAGAGAAGAGAAAGGGGGAGAGAGAAGGAAGAGAGAGGTGCATGAAAGAAGATTCATTTTGGGTCATTTTCTTTTATCACTCTAGACTACAAAAGTTGCTAAGAATGTGGTATATACCCTGAATCCCAATTCTATTCTCAATGATTTTGAATCTATTTTTTTCTCATTAATCTAATTGAAATACATTATCTCTCGATTTAGTAATTTTTTACCATGTAACTTTTGATTGTCTAGATATCCTCATTTCACTCATATTTGCATGACTATATTGGGATTTTACTTTGTAGTTTTGCATGTGAAGCATTTAATAATAATAATAATAATAAATGTACATACAAAATAAATTAGGGCTATTGCATCTATTCTATCAAGACTAATATGACATACATCTAATGCAATTTACATGATAAGACATTTAAAGAGAAAATTTTCTTGAAAGTATTATGGAACCAGCTCTTTATTTGGGAGGAAGTTGATAGGGAGCACAACCATATTGGAAATATTTACTGCAATACTATGTTCTTTGTTTGGAGCACCTAGAATATTTGGATTGAGCACTACAATATTGTGAAAAGTGGCACCATTGTGCTAAATCAAAAATGATATTTTTATATAACTATTTTAAACCATTTTCTCATCAGCCATGTTCACAACGATTCACTAGAAAGATTGAGAGAGAGAGGTAAGAGGAGAAGAAGAGAATGAAAATAAGAGAGAAAAGAAAAATTAGGGTTTAATGGTTGAGGAATTAAATTCGTTTGTTAAGCTGATTATGTGAATTGCTCATATAAAGGTAGTCTCTTAATATCCTATTTTTAATTTTAATTTTGATATTTATATGAATAATTTTAAGATTTTAAGTAATTTTATGAAATTTGATAAACTTTCCACCTAGTATTTTTTATATATTATATAGTGAGTAAATTTTTAGCATTTTGACTATTAAAACTAAAAATTTTATCAGTTGATTTTGAATGTGTGGATTTTCTCAAATATATATATGAGTGTGTGTGTCTGTTTTTGTTCCCTCCATCCATCTTATACATATGTGAGATGATTATGTGGAGTTATAAGGGGCAGTGGAGTTATAAGGGGAATCAAACATGTTTACATCTATCTTATATAGGTGTTAGATCAAGTGAAGGTCTAGGTGGAGGAAAAGTTATAAGCAAGCATCATAAAATGTGCATGTCATGTTTATTTGTAGTACTATAAGTTCATAGAGTAATATATATAATGACACTCATGTTCAAAGTCAAGTTATATTCAAGTTAATATTTCTGATATTAAAATTCAAATTCAAGTAATATTTAAGTTTAAGAAATGTTTCGGTTAATACATTTGATATACATGTTCAAGTCAAGGTAATGTGTATGTCATCCTTCTAATAAAGTTAAATGTATAACTACAAGCACTACAAGAAAACCATGTATTACTAGTGAAATTTCCAGCGGACAATTTTTAAGTTTCCGGCATATGTGAAAAGTTTTTGGCGGATTTCTGACAAAAAATTTTTCGATGGTAAAACAAGCACTGCGAAAATTCCCAGTTCAAAAAAATTCCTATATTTTTTTCTTGCCCGCCTGCGCTTTATATATATATATATAATAGTTGGCTCCATATTTTGTCATCACATCATTTCATTAGCCACTCATCTTAGCATTTATTTAATCAATCCGACATTTGAGTAATTTTTTAATGTGTTCCTAATCAGCTTAGATTTATTTGCATCTTTTATAATAACATGATGCTCGATCTTTAAAATAATGTTAATGTTTTGTTCTACTATGAATGGCTGCTCTATTTACACTATGTAATAAATCTTGAACAAACCTTCAATATTCCTCATGATGGTCATTGGGCAATCAATAAATTATTCAAGTTACTAGACTTGATAGATTTGAATATGGTCATTTGCCAACTCCTTAACCATGAGCACATCTCGAGCGTTAGTTCCTTTTCATTGCATGGCTACTACATCTACTATATTATTAAGAACTCCATTTTCTATAGTTGGAGCCCCTAGAAACCTCAACTATTCTCTTTGTCTTGCAATTTAGTATGTTCATACCAATGGAAAATTTGACATTATTGATGCTCTTCTCGTAGATAATGAGTTTATCTCAAGCTTTCAAATATATCTGAGACAAAGTTACATAATCTAATTTTAAGACGCATCATTTAAGTTACTCTTTTATAGAAGATTCATGATTTCGGCCTTCCCATTTTCCTCTTAATGGCTTTCATTAATATTTGATTGATACTATTTTTTTTTTTTTCATTTTTTCTCGTCATAAAAACTCTTCTCATTAGTCTTAGCCTGCTTCCTCTTCTTTGAATTCCTTAAAAAAAATCGAAGAAGAGAAAGTAGCTCAAAACTAATGAGAAGAGTTATCATGATGAATAATGGATCAGACCCTTTCATTTGCTTTGATGCAAGCAACTCCACTTCAACTTTGATGACAATGATGCTAACAATGGGACTGCCTATCTCCAATAACAAATGAAGTTCTTATTGCTCATTAGCGATTTTAGCTAACTTGGAGTTGTTGTTAAAGTTTGTTTAATCTTTTGTTTTATTTTTAGGTGATGCCTATTGTACATTTTGCCCACTAATGAACTTTTTTTATTTTACTTACAAGAGTAGGAATTAGTTATATGGTTGCAAAGTTGAATATATTAATGATAAGTTAATATTATGGGATTTTTACATACATGCCACTTTATTACACCTATATTACATATTTAAAACTCAAAACTTAAATATTACATTTTTACCACCCAAATAATAATTTAACAACAAAAATACCACTCCGTCTCTACCAACCCTCACGGTGTTGCTTCCTGCAGCAATCCCTAACCACACCAACTGCTTGCCATCTCTTCCCGCGAAACGCGTGCTCTTCCGGCGATCACTTCGCCTTTTCGTTTTTCTTGGTGAAAGCTGCGGTTCTCTTCTATCTTCCTAAACAAGAGTAATTTATATGTAGAGTTTTCTGTTTAGAAGTAAAACTGCAAATAAGCATAGCTTAAACTTTTAAAATCTATTTCGTTTGAAGCTTTCAAAATCTGTTTGGTTTGAAGCTACAGAATTACAAAAGTCTAATTAAGTAAAATTAGAACCTACAAAATGCTTACTAAATTAAACCTAAAGAATGGTAAATAAGGCTTCTAATAGCAGATGAAAGTCGAAGATGTAAGAATGAGAACAGATGCAAGAATGAGAACAGGTGGTTGG